TATATGTACCACATCTTCTTTATCCATTCATCTACTGGTTAACATTAAGGTTGCTTCCATATCTGGGCTATTGTGGCAATAAACATAGGGGTGCATATGTCTTTTCGAATCAGGGATTTTGTTTTCTTTGGGTAAATTCCTAGGAGTGGAATTGCTGTGTCAAATGGTACTCTTCTATCTAGTTTTTTGAGGAACCTCCCTACTGCTTTCCACAGCGGTTGTACCAGTTTGCATTCCCACCATGATGTAGGAGGGTTCCTGTTTCTCTGCATCCTTGTCAGCATTTGTTGTTTCTTGTCTTTTGGATGGTGGCCATTCTAACTGGTGTGTGGTGATACCTCATTGTGGTTTTAATTTGCATTTCCTTGATGAAGAAGCATACATTTCATTTAGCTAACATGCCGTTCTCAAGCGGGAGCATTTTTGCTCTCCAAGGAACATTTGGCAATATCTGGAGACATTTTTGGTGGTCACACCTGGTGGGTTGTTCTGGTGGTTCCAGTGGACTGAGGCCAGGATGCTGCTCAGGACAGCCCCTACACCAGAGTGATCTGGCTCAGAATGTCCATAGTGCAGAGGTTAAGAAACCCTAATCTAGAATAATTCAATGTTTTTCCTTTGTCATGACATTGACATAAGTTCCTCTGGGAGCTTTTAAAAATTAAAGTGCCCAGGTTATACCCCAGTGCCAATTAAATAACTGTCTGGGGGTGGAGATCAAGCATAGGTATTTTTAAAGAACAAACAGGTGATGCAATGTACAGCAAAGTTGGGGACCACTGATCTAGAATAAACATTTTTTGGTAAGAATTTTAGATAGAAAATAATGTATACTTCCCACCACATCTCATCAAAAAACACATGTGTCCGTTTATCCCATTTATGGTGATGCTAAATGTAATCACTTGGTCCTGGTGGGTCTGCTAGATCTCTCCATTGGAAAGATACCTTTTCTATGTAATTAATAAGTAGTCTATGAAGTGTGTATTGCATCCTTGTTAATGGTCACATAGTATTACACTGTATGGATATATAATTAACCCAGTTGCCTTTTAATGCACACAGGTTTTTTCTTTCCTCCTGTTCATATAGTACTGCTGAGAACATCCCTGTGTATAGTTGATGGCATAGTTACTTAGTAATTTACTTAGAGTAAATTTGGAAAGGAAACTTAGCGCAAAGGCTGTACACGGTTAACCATTTGCTGTATGTTGGCACTTACTTGTTCCCTCCCTTTTTCCCCCGTATCTTTTCCCCCCCCGATTCTCTCTCTCTCTCTCTCTCCCTCTCCCACCCCCTGCCACTGGCCTAGTCCTGAAAAGCCCCACTTTTTGTCAGTGACTTAGGCAGAATGACACCTCATTTGTTTTAATGTCTTCTTCCCGTTTTTGTGCTTTTTGTAATTGTCATTGGACGTACAGGCTGAGGTGAGCAGTACATACGCCCAGGTACACCTCTGTCAGGCCACCAGTGTGAGAGTTGTGAATCTAGCCGGGATTGGTTATTACTGTAGAATCTTCCATGTAACACACAGTCAGATTGCTTCAGCAGACAGTGGCATAGTGGGGGGCCCAGGGTGCTGGAGGGTCTCTTCTCAGTGTCCTCATCCCCCCAGCTTTCACCAGCTCTGCAACTGTACCGAGGAGGTCTCTCTGGGCTTTTGCCCCTCAGTTTAGGCAGACCCTGTTCATTCTGGGCTGTGGAGGTGGTACTTTCTCAGGGTTCCCGAACCATCTGCCGTGGCAGCCAAACTCTTACCGTGTGTCTGTGAGAGGTCTTGGTGGGAAGGACCTCCCTGCTTTTGTGCAATTACAGAAAGCACAGAAACAGGAAGAAGACATTAAACCAATGAGGTGTCATTCTGCCTAAGTTGCTGACAACAAGTGGGGCTTTTCAGGACTAGGCCAGTGGGCAGGGTGGTAGGTGGGGGGAGAGAGAAAGAGTGTGTCAGGGAGGGGAAAAGAGGCAGCAGGCCTCTACTTACATCAGAGCAGGATCTTGGGCTGAACAGGTTTCATGCCCGTCTGCAGGGACAGACTGCCTGTTGCTTTTTAATGGGTGTTAAGTCTTTTGTGGGAAGGGATGGGGGTGTGAGTTTACTGCCCCCTCTCTTACAGGCAGATAACTTTTGCTTCATCCACCTTGCACCAGCAGTTGACCTTTGCCCTTCTCCCATCGGCTTCAGGCATTTGCTCCCTAGAACATACTGGTCTGGGAAGTGAGTGAGGTCTCCTGTCTGCATCACCAATGGGTCTCTCTCAGGTCTTCTGCCTTGTCTCAGTCTTTTTCACGGCTCCCAACGGAGGCCTCTGGAAAAGAACTCACAAGTGAATATGAACTAAAGGATTGTCCAGGGATCCCAAGAATTCTGACTGTCATGAAAACCGACATTTGACCTATAAGAATTTTTTAAAAGTGTAGCTGGTTTCTTCCTACCATTTTTGTGGCATCTACCCTGTTCCCCCTGTGCTCTGACAAGGCTGAAGTAGTTTGTGTGTCCTGTCTTTCTTTAGAGAGTTTGTCACTGTGGAGTTCAGTCCGGGATGGACTGAAGTGGGCCTATAGTAGCTCTTGAAATCTGCCTGGTTGCACTTCTTTTCCCAACCCCAAGTTCAGCAACATGACAGTGGCTTGAAATTGGCTATGGTGAGAGTGTTTACACCACAGAAATGGGAAAATGCTTCAAATTAGCACCCTCTCTCCCCTACTGAGAACCAGTTACTAAACATAAACCAGCAAACCAGTGAAGCACCTCACCTGGTTGCCTCGTGACATCAACTGTTTGAAGAAAACAGGTTCAAGAAAAGGAATGCTTTTGTAGATTATCTGGGGTTTTCTTTTTAGTGTGGGAGCAGTATTCTCTTGAGTTGTCCACATACTAAGCAGAAAATGGAACCTAAAGTTTGTTTTTGTTTGATAATTAAGTGAGGTAAAATAGGATGCTCGAGTTCATTAGCCATTAGAATTCCTTCTTTATGGAAAAATGATATTGAAAGGTGGACCAAGTAATGGATTGCAGTTAGAGTTTGGAAGAGGAGAGTCTCTAGAGAGAGCAGAATGAGTCATGGGATGAAAATCAAAGCTTATCCTCTGTGAATAAAAATCCCAAGGAAGTCTAAAATCAGCAATGTATGAAAGCCTAACAGGAAAATCAGAGCCTTGTCAACTATAAAATCTTTTGTTATGGGGCCCCAGAGGGAACAGTTGACCTCAACCTGAAACATTCGGTGAGTCCCTAGGGTCTGTACTCCACCCTCCCATCTCCCCACCTCCAGGCAGCACCGTGCAGCAGGGAAAGTGCATAAGCTATTGTAACTAATTGCTTTCCCAGAATGCCTAATGGGTCCTTAGGCAGGGTTTTGTAAATGGATGAACTTGGGACATCATCTGCCATAGAGTTAATATGTCTGTAGAGTGACAAGAAAAGACTAATGGGAATGCATTTACAGTTTATGCAGTTTATTTTAATATACTGAGTCTGGCCTCATCTCTATTGCAGAACATTCTGTTTTGTCTGATTATAATAAGCGTAATGTTAAATTGTAAGTGCCTGCTTTCTAATTTTTCTGTGACAGATTTTTAATCTTAGTTTACTATTCTTTCCCACCCTGCCTCATTCTACCTAAAGTAGGCTCAAGAAATGCACATTTATAATTATCTTAGGCCAAACATTAGGAATTCAAATATGTTGTCAAAAAAATAAGCCCTTCCAGCTCAAGACAGAATAATCTGTGGATCTGTGGTTCCTTGAGCACAAAGCAGCAAGAGAACTATGTGCCTGTGGGACTCCTAGGCAGCTTTTGTGTACATTTTCTCAAGTAGATACAGCCTCTCTTTCCTCTTCTAACAGGTATACAATAAAAGGCATCAGGAACCTGATTTTCTATGAACTGCCCACATATCCCCACTTCTACAGTGATGTCTGTAACATGCTGAGGGCCACCAGCAGAGGAGAGGAAGCTGCCTGGACCTGCACTGTCCTCTATGCCAAGTACGATGCCCAGAGGCTGGCCGCTGTGGTTGGCGTGGAGCGGGCTGCGCAGATGCTGCAGTCCAAGAAGAGCGTCCACCTCTTTATTACTGGAGAAACATGAGAATGGGTTGGACGGGAAATACTTGGCATGATACATAATGCTCGATTCTGCGCCGCTTGGCCCCAGTTCTGATCACCTTTGCGAGAGAAGACTGCCGCAGGGGAGGAACACCAGGCCACATCATGTCGGATATGGCTTTCTTTTCAGGTCATACGCCCCTGAAAAGCTAAATATAAACCAAATTTTGTGAATCATATCCTTCAGAGGTCAGGAGGGAGCTGAAGGGGCTCTGAGAAGTTGAGAGAAGGAAACTTCTACTTGTGAATCTTTTGTAAGCCGTAAATTCTTCTACTTATTGTATCTCTAATTTATTACATTTGGTAAATTCTTTCAGATTTCCCTGTTTCTGTTGGACACTTAAAGTAAGGCGTACATGTTGTTGCTTATGAGAACACATTGTGAGAAACCGGGAGGCTTGCTGCTGAATATCATCTTAATTTTGGATTGCACAGGTTTTGCAAAACTATTACTTTTTCCCCCACGAAACCTTTTTTAAACCTTAAATAGCCTAGAAGAGTACATTCATGAACTGAAAATATTTTTAACTCATAATAAACATTTTAGTTAAAATATTCCTTTAAAAATCATGTTATTTAAAATGACATTAATGTCTACTCTTGTTTCACAAAATAATTTTGTGGAACTATTGAAGTAGCCATTGTCAGCGTCACTGTCTCTTTCGTTCCTAAAAGTCATTTTTTAAGTCAGATAACAGTTAACAATGAAAAGGAAGTTGTACTTTTCAAAACATTTTTATTTTGAAATATTCCCGGAAAAATTACAAGTAAAGAATCTGAACTGCTTGAGTAAATTGCCAACTGCATGGAGCTATTACTCCTTAAAATGACCCCTGAACCTAGTGTGTATTTCCTATAAACAAGGACATTTTTCTGTGTAATCACCATCAAGTCAGGAATTAATGCCATTAATACCTGATTACCGTCTGATCCCTGGGCCCCATTCATGTTCTGTCAAATGTCCCAGTAATGTTCTTTATAGCAAAAGGATACAGTTTGGAAAGACATTGCCTTTAGTTGCCGTGTTTGTGTAGTGTCCTTTATCCTGGAATAGTGCCCCAGCTTCCCATGTCCCTGTAATGTCCTTTATCCTGGAATGGTGCCCCAGCTTTCCATTGACCTCTGGGCCTTCACATTTTGGAAGATCATAGGCCAGTTATTTTGGTTGATGTGTCCTTGTGAGTAGGTTTTGTTTATGCATCTTTGGCAGCAACAGCACAGAAGCGATGCTGTGTCCTCCCCACTGCAAATCATCAGGTGACTCACGATTGCCACCTGTCCCATCAGTGGTGACGCTAACTGACCATTTGTTTCAGGTGGTGTTCACCAGGCTTTTCCAGTGTAGAGTTTCTCTTTCCCCCTTTATTAACCTATATCCTGTGGACCCCTAGTTTCATCTTTTATTCAGTGGGTTATAACCCAACACTATCATTTCTTTAGGTGCTTACATGGTCACAGACATGGCCAGCCAGACACCTCCAGGCAGGTTTGTGCGCCTTTTTGTCATCTCCCTCACCCCGCATACTTGGGTATTTCTTTATTTCCTGACAAAGTAAGACATTTCAGGTTTGTCTTGTCGTTTCCCTACTCCAGCCCTGCTTCTTTTAGTGGACTATTATTCTAAAGCTAAGATTTGAGTGCTTGGTGTGCTCAGTACTGTTGTGGGGGCACTGGTCCCAGGCCATCTCGGGGGTCATATTTGCACATGTGTGCATGTATACACGCATGCATGCAGCATCTACATTTATTTCTGTATCTGCCTATTGAAAATCATGAGCCACACCATGCTGCTGATCCCAGTCAGACTCCACAAAGTTCCTTCTTTCTCTTTTTCCATTGTTTGTAAGTCCCTTCTCAGAGAGCGAGACACACGGCTCCCATTAGTTTCAATGGAAGAGTCCATAATTGCTACAGATTTTCTTCTACTTGGACACTTAAAATTGCTTATCAAAAAATAGAAATCACTTTTGGAGTAGTCTTTTATTTCTCTCTTTCCTCAACATGGAAAGTAGAACTATTCATTGCATATATAGAGGGATTCCTGAAGTTCCAAAAAATAATAGGTGTCAGTCATAAGCTGACTGAATCCACGCTACAAAGAACTTTGTATATACAAAGTGCCCTCTGGTTATCTGCATATTGTGCTGCTGTTTACCTTAGAGCCTGTGTATTATCAGAAAAGAAATGAGTTCATTTGCCTAGTTCAGAGATGAGTAGGAAGGGACTCTGATTACCCCCATGTTCTAAGTTCATATTCTTTCCCCGTGAATTGTACTAATCTCATGGCTTTCATTATCACTATTCACAAGACTCCCAAATCTCCAACCTCTCAGATTTCACTCCTGTGTGAGTCTGGGTTTCAAGTCAGTAATGTAGCCCCAAGAATATACTTTTTTTTAAAGCATTTCTAGTGATTTCAGTGCTGACATGTAGCCAGCCCATTGCCCGCAGAAAATACTGAGGATTTTAATAATCCCCACTCCCTGACAAAAGTGGCTGAGACTGCCATTCTTCGCCCTAATTTCATCTCCTGCTTGCCTTAGTGACAGGACCCTGGGTTTTACTGGGGTGACAAAGCACCCAACCCAGCAAAAATGACATTTTCTAGCACCCTGGCAGGTGTGGCCAGGGAAGTGGGCAGTGACCATTGGAGTGAAACCAAGTGGAGTTGCTTTTGTTCCTGGGTCCCACCTGGGAAGGAAGGTAAGCCCCAGCCTTTAGTCCTGGCTCCTGAGTTGATTGCAAAGAGTTTAATATCAGGAATGGTTTTGTTAAAAGGACGCTTTAATATCAGGTCTCTCACACAAACAAAATCAAGGAGAAGAGATCTGGACTGTGGATGGTTGTGTCCGAGTTGGAATCACCCATGATCTTGACATTTCTTAGTGAGGCTCATTTGCAGCAATCAAATGCCTACACAAGTGCCTTTAGAAAACAGACAAAGGGATGATTCCAATACTGGGAAGAAGTAGAATTATAATTTTTCTGGAAAAAACTTATCCAGAAAGTGAGACTTAAAACTTTTTTTTTCCTTCCCCATAGTAATAACAACTAGCTTAGCACTGTTTTTTTTTTGAGGGGAAAAAGCTTTGAATCGTGAATGCTTCCTACAGCTGGCCGCACCATGTGTAATATTCAAGAAGCAAGAACTCGCTAATCATAGAGAACCAGCAGCAGCTGAACAGTCAGTCCTCTGCTGGCGTCCAGAGGGCTTATAATTGAGTGCAGATGGCTGGCCCTGGCAGGACGGGGAGTGTGTCCCTGCTGACTCCTCACACCCCAGCGGGCCGAGAGGGGCTCATGAAAGGCTCTCAGCCCTAATTGTGCCCTTGTGGGGGCAAGAAGCCAGGCTGCTGAAGGATGCGGAGCAAGGCACGTGGTGTGGCCGCCTGCTGGCCGCCTTCTGCCCAGCCTTCCCAAGGCCGCATGAGCAGATCTTCAGGGTGCAGCATTTAGATTTGATGAGTGTAGGGTCTCGAGATCACAGAAGGCCTGGGGTGAGGGAACAGGAGTTGGTCGTTCTTTATAATCATCTGAAAAGCCTCATGCAATCTGCAGGTGGCTGTGAGGTGCCAGAAGTTTTGGGAAGAGGAATGCAGAAATACAGGCCGCTCCTTTCAGCAAGAACCCTTCAAGGGGCAGGGGGCCCTCACAGCCAGCCCCCTCCAGCTTCACCCACCCCCTGTCCTTCAAGCCTCTTTCCCAATTTCTTTAAGGGAGCTGACATAATGACCTTCATTACCAAATTTCTACTGCAGACTTCTCACTTAAAAAAGCTTTTCTAGAAGCCTCGCTGGATAGAATTCTAAACAAATTTCAGTCTGCTCTTAATTAGTGTATTGGGAGTAGATACACAGATGATCCAAAATTGAGGTAGTCCCTGGGAAGGCAGAAAAGAAGAAAGCTCACGCTCCTTTCCTTTGGGCCTAGCCATTCCCTCCCAGTGAATCCCGCCATGTTCAGCGGACAGGAGAAAATGTGTTTCTTTCTAAAAACTTGGGCTTCATCCTGCTACACCACATGCTCTAACCAGAGCTGCAGTAAAATTCTATGCATTTTATGTCGTTTCTGAAGCTGAGCACATGTTCCTATTCCACCTTCAGGTTCGCTTTGTTTCTGTTTCCCTTCTCTAAGGACCCTCCTCCCTCCGGATGTGGGAAGGAGTTGCCTCTCCTTGCTCTGCACACATTTCAGTGTAACTCCCGGGTTTCCCTTGTGCTTCTGGCCACGTTGCCATTATTCCTTTGAGAGGTGAGGGCATGAGACAGAGCAGAATTCTAGGCCTCCATCCAGTAAATGGGCTGCCTGTCTCAATAGTCAGTCCTGCTGTGGATAAAGTGAAGGTTCCTGAGGCCAGGATTCTCACCTGGCCCTGGTTGGCTAGCTCACTACACATGTGTGGGCAATATGTCATTATTGACTATAAAGAGCCCTGCCCCGGTGGCATGGCTGTAAGGCTGCAGGAGAGCAGAGCAGAGGCTGGAGTGGTGGCAGCATTGAGGACAGAGACTGGGATGGCTGTGCGGGCAGAGGGCCCCAGAGGACAGCTGTTCTGGTAGAGAGGCCCAGAGGTGGAGACCAGCTTGCTACGTGCAAACTCGCTCTGAGTGGATGGGATTGTAGTGATTGACCTGCCACTGTGGAAACAAAGTTGGGTATAACCCTTTCACCCCAAGAACGTTCTACTGCCATTTCTTTGGTCACATTGAATCCATAGTGAACTTGCCCGGGGCTGAAACCCATTGGCAAGACACCTGTGCTCCAAAGGTCAGGACAGGCCCAATTGCCAAAGGGCTGTTTCACCCCGCACAGAGAAATCAGCCTGCCCCTGGCGGGGGGAACACCCCCACTTGCTTGTCCTCTGGATGGCCCCTCACGATCAGGTGGGGGAGGACACATTCGTTGGCTGCCCCTGGCCACGCTGCCATGGTCCTCAGTCTTGGGCCTCTGCAGCTGGCTGTGACCAGGTGGGCCCTGTAGCCTCAGCTGATACAGGGAGGGAAGAAAGGCAGTCTGTGCTTGGCTAACTTGGAAGCTGTGCTGAATTTCTGCCTATCTGTTCTCCCAACTGAGCCAGGGCCAGAGCTGTCTGCCTGGAATGACGCGGACCCCGGCGTCCTGCAGCTCTTGTCCTCCCTGTCCCCTGCAGCCCCTCTCGTCTGCCAGTTTCACTCCCCACGGAGAGATGGCCCTTGGTGCACAGCTGGTGTTTGCCCACAGATGGGCATGGGTTTCTGCCTTTCATGTTCTCTGTTTTTCAAAGCGGGTCCTCTGCCGGGTGCTGGGACCGACATCACTGCCGACCTGCTGTGGCTCTGCACGGGTCCTCCTGGCCACGTCTCAGCTGTCTTGTCTTTGTAAAGTAGGGAATAATCCCCCCTCCTCTGACAGGAGATAATCTGAATAATCCCCACTTCTTGACAGAGGTGGCTGAGACTGCCATTCTTTGCCCTGATTCCACCTCCTGCTTCCCGAGTGACAGGACCCTGGGTTTTGCTGGGGTGACAAAGCACCCGGCTAAGATGACATTTTCCAGCACCCTGGCAGATGTGGCCAGGGAAGTGGGCAGTGACCATTGGGCAGGACTTCAAGGAGAACTCTTCCAAACCAAGAGCAACACCCCGCTTGCCTTTCGTTCTTCCCTTTTCCCTGCCTGGAACACGGAAGTGATGGCCGCAGCTGCTGAGGGCGGAAGGTCTGAGCATGGGACACGCTGGGGCAGAAAGGCCGCTCACCCCCTGGAGCTGCTGGGCCTGTCCATGGGCTCCCTTTGACTCATGTGAAAACCTAAGTTCCTCATTTGCTTAAGCCACTGAGGCAGGACCTCTGTTATTAGCAGCACCTAAGAGACTCAGAAGACAAAGGTGGAATCGCAGAATCCTGAAGGCCCAAACCGTCTACAGCTGGGATTTGAATCCAGGCAATATGACCCCAAAATGCTACATTGTTTTTCACTACCGACCTTCCTCAACTTATGATGGGGTCACCTCCCAATAAACCCATAGTA